ATGTTAAAACAAAATAAAAGGATACTATTATATTTTTATTTTAATCATACTTAAACATTAATCTATGTTAAAAAAATTTTAAACAACTTTTTTAAAAAAAAAAACTTTTTAAAAAAAAACATATTTTTTCACATATCATTTACGTAATTTAATATTTTTGTATATTTAATTTAATATTAATTAATTTTTCAGTCTTATAATGTTTAATATAGACCACATTCTTTATAATACATCTCCTTTACTCTCAGGTACTTCTGTAAATTATTCTTTGCCAATCTCAGATGGGAATGATATGGAAAATTATCAATCACAGTCTAATATTTCTGCAAATAATAATTCTTTAGCAACTATTAATGAAAATATAAATCATTCTCAAATATCATCCATTCCTAAACCCAAAAGAACATACAATTGTTGGAACAAAGATAAAATTGAAATGGTAATGAAAATATTAGCAATGCCAGAGGAAGAACAGATGAAGGTTAAGGACATTGCTAAATTTGTTAATATGTCGAAGGCATCAATACATAAAATAAAACGGGATACATTCCCAGAAATTATTGGTGAGCCCCTAAAGGAATTCTCGCTTAAACAAAGGGGGAGAAAAATTAAAGACACAGCAAATATTGAAAGGCAAATTATGGATTTGCTAATCGACAATAATACCTTCACGGTGAAGGATATAATTGAGAATTTGCCCTCTGGTTCTCCAAAAAATAATGGAACTATAAGGAAATATATTAAAACACATCCGATGGTCCAAAAAAAGAGCTGGGAAAGAACCAGATCGCAGGAATACACCAGGAGCTATCAATATTCGACAGGTGTATTGCCGCAAATTGCTGAACATCTCCAGAGAAAGACTCTATTTTCTCGACGAAACAGGCATCAATTTTCATGTTGTACCTGTCTATGCTTGGGCACCACTCAACGTTAGACCATCAATAAAGGTGCCACCCTCAAAAGGGAAAAATGTAAGTGTACTTTGCACTATAGGAATTTGTGGAGTTATACATTATAAAATCATCGAAGGATCATATAATGGTATGTTATTCCGAAATTCATTAATGGATATTATTAGTATATTACCACCAGATGCCATATTAGTTATGGACAATGCGTCAATACATAAAAGTCATCTAATTGATGACTATAAAGAGAGAATTGAATATCTTCCCCCATACTCACCACAATTAAACCCAATTGAAAATTTTTTCGGGGTTTTCAAAAACAAGTACAGGTCATTAATTCCCAGACCAAGTACAAGGGAACATATAATAAATAATATTAATCAAATAATGAATCAATTTATTCCATATGATTTTACAAATTTCTATAATCATATGCAACATTATTTGGAGCTGTGGGCTATCGTGGACTACCTCTTGACTAAAGTAATCTAATTATATAATAAATTACGATTAACATTTTTTAATATTTATAGGTACTACTTAAGCAAGCAATTTATGACTATGAACTATCATTAAATATTTCATATTTTATTAATTAATATTCATGTATTAGTGTAATTACGAATATATTTCTTATTATATATAATTATATGTATTACATATACGAATTGAATAAAATATTAAATTAAAGTTATGTCTCAAATATGATAAAATAAAGTGTGAGAAAAAAACTATTTTCAGAAATAAAAGATTCTGACTAAGATCTTACAACTTAAATGAATAATTTATCATTATATATAAAATTATTCTACATAAAATATCGTTAACTAAGTAAAAGAAAATATGTGATGACAAAACTTTTTATATTTTTTTATAAAAATTTTTTTTTATGTAAGTGTGACATTTAAAAAAGTTGTTTAATATTTTTTTAACATAGATTAATGTTTAAGTATGATTAAAATAAAAATATAATAGTATCATTTTATTTTGTTTTAACATCTGGTAAAAAATATCCCCCCTCTCACTGTAAATGACATAAGTTATGGTATAATTAAATTATAGATGTTATACTAATAAAAAGTATATTACAAATTAAAACCAGTGGTATCTTTACAGAATACAAAATTAGATATATTGGATCAGTTATCGGCCGATATTAATTTAATATCTGGAATATCGGATCGGCCTCCAAAAGTGGTATCGGTACACCACTAGTAAGAAGTATTGACAAAAAATTTTTTTTAAACATTTTAAAAAATAACGATTTTCCTTTTTTTTGACACTTTTCCTTTTGTAATTGGACTATTTCCATTTTTTATTGGATCTTTTCTGTTTTTGTTTAACACTTCCCTTTTAGATCAGACTTTTTCTTAAACCTTTGGGACTATTCCTTTTTTGATAGAACCTTTTCCTTATATGATTGACCCTTTTTCTTATTTGATCGGGCCTTTCCTTTTATGATTGACTCTTTTCCTTTTTTGATTGGGAAATCCTTTATATTGAAATTTAAATCCATTTCCGACCATAATTGAAACATAAATATTATATATTTTAGTTGGCTTCTGCTCTATTAATAAGGATCCTAATGTTATTGATAGAAAGATAGTGATACCTGAAAAAAATATTGACAAAAATTTAATCCTTAAAAGATCTTAGAAATGTGTTAATCACAAAATCCTTAAAAATATTGCAAAAAGAAGTCATCGGATATATCAAATTGTGACAAACAAAGACTGACATTACGGTAGTAAAAATTAAATATCAAACATATAAGAAACGTTTATTAAAATAATGTTTTAGCCTTCCATATTAGATATTGTCTATAAACTTGAGTGACAGAGATCCTAAAAATAAATTTTGTTTGCAATAATACATATTGGTGTAGGTAACAGCTTCTGTAGAAATATTTTTAAAACTAATTTAGAAGCAAACTTGGACTAAAAAAAGCTGGAAAATTAGTGTTTTAAATATTTTAATGATAAAATCTTATATATATATAGATATATAATTTGTTATTTCTGAAATTTACAATTAAAAGGAAATACCAATTATAATATTTTTATAAATATAAGATCAAAATCAATAAAATTCCCAGATTAATGGGAATCCATCTAACCCTTTTTTTGAAAGAAAACATTGTTACATCACTACATAATTCCAAATTATTTAATTTTTCTCTCTTAAAAAATGTAAATTTTTTATTGGTGTTTATACTTTAATAAAAATCTGCAAGGCCTCCAAAAAAAAATTAATAATTAAAGTAAACTCTATAGATTGACCACTCAATGAGGATTCATTATGTAGTCAACAAGATTCTCTTATTTTTAAGATTATCATCTCCTTAGAAATCTGTCAATCCAACTTCCTAAGCATCCATTCCTCCCTTAGATGACTTCAAACTTTTTCTTCTTTTTATAAAAAAATACTTATTTAGTGTAATCTTTTTTAATAGTCCTCAACTTTTTTTTAGCCACATTTTAAATTTAGTCATTCTTTTTTAGAAATAATTTTTTTTATACAATGTTTTTTATATATAGCAAAGACCTTCAGAAATACCATTTGCATGTCCCGGCTCAAATTTTTTTTAAAAAAAAATTTTGGCCCAGGGTTTATATTTTCAGCTGGCCAAATTTTTTCAAAAATGTATTGCATTTATTTTTAATTTTTATTCTAATAATGGCAATTTAAAGTATTCAGCTTTAAAATATATGGCCTGGAATAGGTATTTTTTATGTTTTTAGGCCTGGACTAAGTATATTTTTAAAAAAATTAAAATATGGCATAGCCCATGTACCCGGACTGTCTTAGGGCCTAACCTGCAGGTCTCTGGTATATAGAATGTTTCTGCCATATTTTTATAGGATATGTAAATATCTATATTACAAGACTCTTTAAATTGAAATTTTTTTATTTAAAAAGAAGACTTTTAATACCTTAAGTAAGGTTGCAAAATCGCTCCATTTGAGCCCGATTTTTAAAAAACAAGCTCACTCAATATTTTAGTTAGAAAAATATTGCCTATAAGCTTCATGATTTTGCTAATAGATGTCCAAACCTTTATGTCATCTATGAGCAAAATGGTCAGGCATGCCTAATATTTTTTATGGATAAATAACAGAGTTAGCCCATTTTTAAAATAAGGTTCAATGAAGCATTTTGCATCACTTACTTCTAAGTAATAATTTTGATAATTATTGTGTTTAAAAAAATAGATATAAAACCTTTGATTTTACTTGATAAATTTTATTATATATTATTTTTAGGGGTAAAAAAAAATGGAGATTAATTGGAATTAAAGATTAAATTTTTTTGTTTAGAAGAAGAATCAAGCATTTCACAAATTTTGTAATCATAGATTATAGACTTGTCATACTAGGTATTTAGCTACTGTATAGGTATCCTACATTAGATTATTCCTTAAATGGGGATTTCAGCATTAGAATAATAAACAAGAAAATTACCAGCTGCAATCTCTATAAACACATGATTTTAAATGTTAAAATAAATTTGGGAAGTTTGGTCACCTTGCACTTTCAAGCACCTACATTTGCTCAATTCAATTTAGTCATTTTAATTTAGCACTCATTTTCTTGATTCATAGTTTATCAAAATAATAATTTTCTCAATTTGTAGTCTATTTACCTCAATTTAACATTAATTTAATTGATTAGTAGTTTAATCAACTTAGATTTAACATTAATTTGCTCAATTTGTAGTTTCATCAAATATTAATTTGCTTGATTTACAGTTTATTTATCTCAATCTAAGATTAATTTGCTCAATTCATAGTTTACTAATCTAAATTTGCTTAATTCAGTTTAGTCTTCTCAATTTGCAATTTACCTAACAATTAATAGTTTTTGTAGATTCATAGTTTAGTTCTTTCTAATTATTTAGAGCATAGTAAATAAAAATTTTCTATAATAGCTTTAAACACTAAAATTTTTTTTTATTTAAAAACTTATGAAGGTTAATCATATTAATATTGGCCAATATTGAAATGGACTATACCATGAACATTGGCTAAATATTAAGTACCAGTGCATGTATGAAATAAAACTTATCAATTAAAAAGGTTATAAAATTTACCAAAGGATAAATTGCCAATTATTTTCATATCCACCATTTTTGTTGAATTTGGTGAGAATTTCTTGATAAATTGAATATATTTATCACTCTTGAGATAAGAGTAATTGAAGAACTTATTAGATTCTTGTGGATTAACTAAGCCATTTGACATAAAAGCACATATAATTAAATGATCACATATAACATATGATGTTATGACTAAAGCTAAACATAACATTTGAATATACAATTTCTTTAATTTGGTCTGAGGGATTAAGATAAGAATCACACACAGGAGTATCCCTACAAATGTTAATAAAATAATTAATTGTATTTATATTGACAAAATTTTCTTCAGAAATGATTAATTATATTAAATTATGCAATGTAAAAATATAATAAATATATTTTAATAAATTACCTAAAGGCTTGGCCAATTCATAAGTTATATTAAGAATTTTGTATAATATTTGAACTTTTTGATCATTGAGGATAGCTTTGTATATATTTACTAATATTTCAGCACAAAAATCGATTGGAGATGACGCTCGTATATTCATCAATATTAGATCTAACATACATAGGGCTGGAAGATGCCAAGCCATTGAAAATTGGCGATTTTCTCCCATTTGATATAACTTTATTACATTAAAGTTTAGATCAGCAGGCAAGTGGCGTCAGCCAAAATAAGCAAATTTAAAAGGATATTCGAACTATTAACTTTAAAGAGTTAGGTATAAATAGGTTGAGTTTAACAAAAATTATTCAATATAAATTTTTAATATTAGAAGAATTTCATCATCGAATATATTTTTACATATAGTTAAACAAAAATTATGATTATGTTATATTTAAATTATATAACAGACAAAAAAATATAAAGCGTTTGATAGAGTTGTTAAAAAGCTCAATTTGGGTCGATTTTAAGAATGAGCCTAAATAATATTATAAACCTAAACATTTTCTCATAGGTACCAGAAAGGTTTCGACATCTTTGCCAAATCTTGAGGTTATCTATTATTTTGGCTAAACTCTCAATCAGGGCGTTTTCAAAAATCCACCCAAATCAGGCTTTTTAAAAACACAAGCATGCATCGTTAGCTAAGTGCTTTAAAAGCTAAAGATTTTTCAAAATAAAATAATTTTGAAAAATATATTAGCACCATTTTTAACTAGCACTTTTATGGCATTAAATATTTTTGTTTCCATTATACCTTTCCATTTGCAGCAAAAAATGAAATAGTTAAAAATCATAACAATATCCATACATTTTTGGGCTAGTTTTTGAACATACAACAAGTTGTGCTTATTTCTATTTTCATTTTTAAATTATGCCCAGTTTAATTCTCCATTTTTTTTGTTATTAAATGTAAAAACAAAAGGAAAACGAGATGAGTCAAATCTTCTAAAAATTTTAATAAGAAAATCTAAAAGCTTTTAGAATGGTTATTAGGGATTTATTTATTGGTTAACAGATTAAAGCATTTAATTTAGATTCTACATTTGTGTTGGCTATTATTTTGACCATTGAATGTGTTTATGTTAATATGCAGATATATTTTTATTATGCATTAAAGGTTATAATCATGTTTATTGTTATTTTACTTATCGATAAATTTTTATTCTGTCTTAAAGGTTATATTGGTAGTGTGCCGTAGGAATTTAATAACACAACTAATTCTAATAACTCAAAGGTCAAGTAATTTTATTAGAAAATAAAATAAAGTAAATAAATAATGATCATGTAATTAATTATAATAATTTTACATTACAATAATAAAATGGAAGATAAAATAATGAATTCATATATACATTACAATTCGCTCCCCTTTTATAAGGAAGCTCTAATTGTAAAAAAATAATATAAAAAATAACAAGTTATAACTATATTTCTTTAAAATTATAAATCCCGAAATCATAATTATAATTAAAAATATAACTATATTAAATAAAAATAACTTGCAAGTCTCAATACATAGTGATTATCAATGATATATAACTATAGATTGGCGATTCATCATTGGTGATTATGCAAAAATTAAATTTTATAAATAAAAAATATAAAATTTAACAATTGCTACAAATGATTTTAAAAATATTATTCAATTGCAACAAACAGGTTATAATCAGGTTTTATTTATTTTTATTTTTTACTTTAATACTTTTGATCGTTTAAACAATTTTGTTAAACTGACGCGAAAAGGCGTTAATATGATATTGACTTATTTAACCTTAAGATACATTTTCACTTAAAAATTGTATTAAAGATTGAACGATTGAGTAACAATTATATATATATAAATAGAAAAAGAAAGTTGTAAAGGAGAGGATCAAAAATGTAAATTTGTATATCTCAAATTGAGAGTAAATAAATGTAATATAAGTTATTTTAAATTGTAATTGTTTATTTTTGTGAATAAAAGTATGACAAACCCGTTTATATTTATTAAGATGACAACCATTTCTACTGATTATAAATAATTATAGAAGATATAGATATATGAACGTAGACCCGACCGAAGGCCTAGCAAAGAAACCCGTTAAAGGGTGACATAGGGAGCGAAGCCTCCCCATAAATTAAATATAGATTAAATAAATCATAACTTAAAATAAATTAACATAATTTAAAACCCCCCTTTTGTAAAAAAAAACTTAAAAATAAAAAATGATTCCTTTGTTGAAATGGATAAATTATTCCATCTCCACTTTTTGTAATTTTATGGGAGAGCAATTGTAAATATTAAGTTTCTATTGTTCTCAATAGGATGTTTAACCTAACATTAGGTATAATTTAGCTTATTTAAAATATATTTATTGTAACAAAATTCAAACTAATCAAGATCTGAATTCCAATAATAAAATGGATGAAATAGAAATTTTTTTTTGGTAAGGTATATTTATTCATTATATACCCTTTGCCTTAAAGCGCTTCTGAGGAAAGCTTGCTTAGTAAAGACACATTCTTAATGAAAGATACAGTCCAAAATTATATTAATTTAGAAAAAAATATATTTTTAAAGGCTAATATAGAAAAAATATTCCAACATAATATAATAAAATTGAAGTTAAGCCATTGATCAAGTGTCAAGTTTAATACTGGGGAAGCCGTTATTTCTTTTATAAATATAACCATATAAAATATTTAAACTCTTTAAAATAACAGAATTTGTCATTGTTTTTGAATAAAATATTTAAGCACTGAATTATATAATTTATTGCTGGATGTATTTTATTTTTATGAATCAATGATAGATATTAAATAATCAATATAAACTCTTCTTGTTTCTTCAATAAGTTTATTCTTTAAGCTGGATGTATTTTATTTTTATGAAATCAATGATAGATATTAAATAATCAATATAAACTCTTCTTGTTTCTTCAATAAGTTTATTCTTTAAGATGAAAATATTCGCTCTGTACTTAAGGTTGACAGAGCCAACGGTCGGCGATTAAGAAAAAATATATGTATTATCTATAAAAGGATCAGGAACCTTTTTCAAAAAAAATTCAATACAGAATTTAAATCTTTTTTCATGAAAAGATCCTAAACATGATTTGTTCCTTTTAAGGATCGATTAATAAGCCTGTGTATTTCCTTTAATATTTAAGTGAACTTTAAACAGTTTTATTTAAAATAATGAAAAATTTTATACAATAAAAAATTAATATAAACAATATTAAATTCTAATTATATATCATAAATGAACGGTTCCCCTTTCGATTTTAATGTCCGAATAAGGTCTGCTTTGTTTGAGTTTAATATTCTTTCTTTTGGCCAATACTAAAATTCATTATTTAAAAATATATATATATAAATTTAAAAAAATTTCTACCTATCCATATCCCATTCGTTCTTACTTTCCTACCTACCTTCCTTCTTTCCACCTTATTTATATTAATATTTTTCTTAACCTCTTGAAAAAAAAACCACTTTGTTTTTGTTATAGTTAAAGATTAATAATTGTGCACTATCGTAGTTATTCAACAAATTCTGGGCTACGCTTTATTGGACCTGTTTTTAGCAAATTACAAAAATATTTATGGTGTTTTAAATTTTTAACTCAGACATGTATAAAGTACCTCATACACTGTGTATTTCCAACAATTTGACTGTTTGTGTTTTAGATTTAAATTTATAAGAAAAAAAATCCATACATTTATAAATTTTAAAATAATTCAAAAATTCAGGGCAAATCTTTATGAAATTCACGGGATGAAGTTCCGCCAAAATTGGATCTACAAAAACTAATTAAAAATGCTAGTTGCTAAATCTCATACGATATACACAAATATGAAATAATCTAATGTGGCATTTGTGGTTAAAATTTAACAATATTAAATTTTATTTTAAAATCATTATTAATAGGCGATTATTAAACAAATTAAATAAAAATGGAAGTGGAATCAATGCAATATTCCTATTTTATTTATTTTTTTAAATGGCTACACTTCCTGATACGGGTGGTATCTAAAAATTTTAATATATAGCGCTTGTTTCAAAAGATCATGCTCCAGGGCAGGGTTGCCATGTCTCCCCCCATCAGCGGGAGACTCCCGCCATTTTAGTTTGCACGCAGACATCTCTCTCCCGCAAAACTACCGCAATTGGAAATCTCCCGCAAATATCTACCGCAATTTTTTAATTTCTCCCGCAATTTTTTTTTTAGTATTTTAACATTTTTAATATATAAATAATAATTTTGAGAGATATTAATTGATTATTTTTATATTTTAAAAATAATTTTTAATATTTATTCGAAAAACATGTCTATTTTGTAAATTTCTTTTTATCCTGTTTTATTTTTATCCAATAATAAATCAACATCATTTCATTCATATAAGTCAGTACAATATCAACATCGATTGCAATACAAAAATATTCTCAAATAAATATTACAGATGCAAATACATTTGCGGAAATCGTATACATCTATCATGTAGTTCAACATTCACTGAGTTATATTATCACAATGTGGGTCGAATCTTTTTCTCATGATATTTAACAACTACAATATAAGTGCAAACCTTACTTGTGGCAGAACAAAAATGAGCAAGGCTAAAGTGTTTTAGTACCTAAATCCTAGAGGTCAATTCTAGACGATTTGATAAGATGGGCATCCATATGCAATTCTAACAGAATCAACTAATAAGGGAAATATTAAAAATTTCCCTCGATCCTTCGCTATTTCAACAAGAATAAGAACATTTCAATAAAACTGTTAAAAAATTTTCCTCGGACAGTGAAAAATAAAATTCAACGATGTAGCTAACCACTAGCTTACATATAGCTGATTCAGGGTTATCAATGATCATGTCAGCTTTCTGCGCTGATAATGCCTCTGTAAATTTTGGCAAAAACCAAAGTTCCCGAATTGAGGCAGCACAATAATGAATTAATACCAATTGGCTGTATATACCATATACTACATAATTCTTCACGGTAGATTTCCAATTGCAGTCGTTTTGCGGGACATTAGCATAAAATATATTTTGAATTGTAAAATTATAATCGTTTTTTTTATCTTGTTTAATTTCTTTTATATTTAAAAAATATCGTTGGTTTTTTATTATAAATTAATATATTTTAATAAATCAAGATGTTATTTTACTTTGAAAAATAATTACCGACTTTGTATTTATATAAACTAAATAAAAAATAATAGGCGGATAATAAAGTCAATTCAAAATCCCGGCCAAAGGCCAAAAATTATTTTT